TTATTGGCTTGAATTTAAGCATCTACAAATGCAACAGTAACAGCTCAGTGAAAGACAAACAGTTGTTTGCTGTGGGCTGTTTTTTTCTCTTCCCCTACCCAAGAAGCCTGGAGGAATATGGACTGTTGTGAGGACAAGGATATCAATGTAGCAAGTTAGAGGTGCGAAAGCATGGACTAAAATGGGGCTTGAGGAAGCCTCAGACACTTCTACAGAATGATTTTAGGTACATCTTAGTAGGCTTTTATCTGGGAATTATAAAGGTAATATTAATACAACATCATTCAACTTCTGTACACTAACTAATGTAAAATATCTGGGCCTATTAATGGTCATTCTGGAGGGTACAGGAACTTTGAAATCTTAGGTCAGACAGTGAAAAAGTCTGAGGTACGATCAGCTAATTTTAAGAGTAAGCCTAGACTACAGATATCTTGGTAGCTGATATTAAAATTAGCACAGAACTATTTAGTATTGTCTGTTCACTGTGATATAGCAATTAAGAGTGCTCTCTGTATCACTCCTGAACCTAATGGCAATTTTAATCTCATCAATAGCCTTACATCACTTCCAAGATAGGAAGTGTTTGGGAGTTTGAACACCATGTACACGTTATACATGTACTTACATACATACATTGCACTGCCTGTCTCAGCTCTAGGAACCCTCATGGTATCAGAATAACATACCATAAATTCCCTGAGTTAAGAAAACCAATTCACTGCTTTAATTTGATAGCCCAGTCATCTAAACCTCCTACTAAATTTGAATAAGCATTTCTTGATTTCATAGATAATCATAGAAAAATTAAAAATTCTGAAATTCCATATTTATTAGTGACTAATAAGTGATGATCTAACAGCCTTACTCCTCTGATGTTGTATGATAGAATTAGGGTTTTAACAACATTATAAGAGACACTCGATTTTTTTGTGAGGTTGAATAGTTTCAACATCGCCTTTCATTACTGTTTTTTCTTCCTATTTGCTGTTTTCAGTTAGGGTGAATTAATCCTTCCACATGGCTGGTGCAAGATGTCATTCGCCTCATTGATAGCACTTCTTTACCTTTTATCTTGAGTAGAATGATACTTTGTAAGCAGACAGAGGATAAATTGTGAGTCTTTCGACAGAGATTATCTCAGAAGAGATCTTAGACTTCATTCACTACCGTTCAGTATAAGGAGTTCACAGGATGACTCACTAAGTATTTCTGGGATTAAATGTGAAGTAAAATCCTTTGACAATCTTAGGCTTTGAGGTATAAAAGGTGCAGGGTCTCTAATACATGTACTGACTTGCACTGATTTTTCCTGAAGTAATAAAGTACATACATCTATTATTTATTTTTTTTGCCTAACGCTGTACCCCAGTTGAACAACTTTTCCAATCAGCTGATATTCAACCAAGTGCTGCAGTAAGATATCTGATCTGTTTTATGTATGTGCATGTCTTTTTTTATATTGACAAAAAGTGTAAGATACTGAAATAGAAAAAAAAATGGTAAAGAAAAACAAGGAATAACGACATTTACGTTTCCTTATTGCTGAAAACAGAGTACAAATACAAAAGGAGAGAATTACAATGCAGACTGCAGAAGACTTATCTGTGTTAATATAGAGGATGTAAAGCAAACTAAGTCACTATCAAAGTACCAAAAAGAAACAAAAAACAAACAGGAAAAACAAATAAACAAACAAACAAACAAACAAACCAAACCTCAGAGAAGTCCTAAAACTAGCATAGGATAAAAGAGATAATGATGAAGTTATTTTTAAAATTTGGGTACAGATCAAGACAGGCAGAACTGCTTGAAAATCCACTCATTAAGAGCTATCTCCTCTAACATAGGTGCAAAGGGACATTGCGTTCCAGAAATGATCCTTTAAAAAGGATCCACAGAGACAAGCCTGTGTAATAAAGAGACGGGGAGTAAGAGAGCAGAAACGTGAATCAGAGGACTACTCTTTGTCTGGGCCCTGTGTTGCAGCCGGATGTGTTGAAACACCAAAAATCCACATTGCTCTACTGATGTTTGCTTGCCGTTCAGTGAGTATAACCACTTTTCTCCAAGAAAAAGACAGAGAAACCCAAAAAGTAGAAGAAAAGAAAAACATTTGTTGTTTTGAAACTCAGCAAGTTCCCTTCTGTAGAGCAGGGGCTTAAACAAACACAGTAGTTAAGTGTTGTGATGTGTAACGGGACTGTTCTGATCACTCCGGTCTCCTGTTTCAGGTTTGCACAGTGACTGCTGGTGAAGAAAAAAAAAAAAAAAGAGTTTTCTTGTCTCTTTCTGTGGAGGTCCCACATCTGGCAGGTTGCAAGGTAGGTGTTCCATTAAGGGCTGGAAATCCCCAAAATCCCTAGGTGATTTTGGTGGAGGAGCACTCTATCCCTCATGCCACACCATAACAGGTTTTTATGACTCTATGTTCAGAGCCTACCCAGTGTGAAGAAATAAGTGGCATTGAATCTCATCCTGGTACATCTGAAAAGGGTGTAATGGAGGGAATGTTTCTGTGAGTGCTTTAGCAGACAATCACTGTGTAAACTTAGTAAACTACCATTCTGATAACTGTGCAGCTATTTTCAAGTGTATATATAGGAATACACATGGATGGGGTGGTGGAAGATGGGTGTCCTGTCTTAGCAGTCAGCTGAATTAGCTACATGCAGGTAACAGCTACATTTTGATATGTCAATTATCTAATTAAAAACTTTAACTATCATTACTATATTAAATTACTACTAAATATACGGCTTCCACTTTGACAAGAGTGTCCAAGATTGGACAGTGTAGGAAAGTACATCATGTCCAGTTCATGTTCTATTTTTTTTTTTTAATTCTGACTTCCTATTTTTTGACTTCTAAATTATGCTTAGCATAATTCAGGGAGCCCTACATACTTCTGTGAAGAATTATTGCCTTTAATTATACCATTGCACACCTTTTTCTTAACATCAACAGTGTATCTTTAAGGAATCAACGTTCATCTCATTTTCAGTTCCTACTTTCCCAAAAATTTATCCTGGAAATCAAACATGTCTCTGTATCTCCATAATCTTCCAGCAATCCTTTCTGTCAGAAGCCTTTATCCTAGCCTGCTGAATTTGCATTGTAAAAACGGGGGAAAAAAAAAGCTAACTTTTCAATCTCTGTGCCTTAATATTACATATCATTTTAGGATACTTTTGAGATTTTTGACAAGCTCTTCTGGGTTTTACCAGACCTTTGAAAAGGCCTTCCTGCTCAATTACAACTGCTCTAAAGAATAAGCCTGTCCTGAAACCCAGCACAGCCTTATTCTAATAGTAATTTTATCTGCCTTGGCAGGAGGAAAAACACTTGGCGGAAGAATTTCTCTCTTCCAAACTGCCACCAGCAGACCAGTCTGATTCTTCAGCAAGTATATATATCCCATGGCTACAGTCATTGCTTAGACTAGAGGGAAGAACCCACTTACTGTCTTTCAAAATACAGTAGCTCCTAGTAGTCTTATTCATCACAAAGCTGACATGAGTCAGAAGCCTTATGTGCCCTCATTTTAGCTTACAGTATTTCTAGAATCAACCACAACTATTACTTTTCATCCAGTCCTTTCCTAAATCTTAAACCTATGTCAATATTATCTCTGCTCTTAAGGACAGTCAAGTAAATCCAGAAATTACTAAAAACTAAGCCATTCATCTCAGTCAATAACAATTCTTACTTTAGTTCTCTGTAACTTGCAGGCTGCAGCCCCAAAAAGATCTTTCTTCCATGAACCTGAACCATAGTGCTAACACTGTTTTAAGAATATCTCAATCATTCTGCCTTGTATCATCAGAATTCATTTTCTTTGTCTAGTACGTAATATGCTCTATGAAAGTAGCTACTTAACCCATCATTTCTGGTATAATGACCCCAACAATAAACCCAGTCAACCAATATAATAAGCCCACCAATCCATGCTTGACCTTAAGTTATTAGGTTACTGAAGAAAGCTCATTATTGAAGAAAGCTCATTTAAACAGTTGTATAGTTAGGATCTACTAGTGGTCTAGTTCTTAATCTCTTCCCAATCTTACATCTAAAATTAAGTTGAGTAGCACACTGATTCTGATTGCACTCTCTTAAACAATTACAAAATTTATATTTTTCAGCATCTTCCTTCTTGTACGGGCCTGAGAAGATTTGCAAGGACACTTGAATCTTAAACTCCTTCTATCCTTACCACACATACCCATACTTTAAACATAACATGGCTCTGAAATACAAGTAACATCTATCTTTTGCAAGACAAAGACATTAGCAACCCTGCTAACAAATTATTCTTGTTCAAGCCCTTAAGATCTTGCAGGATACAGCAAGAAACCTGCATGATATGGTAACAATCCTAACACCTCAGTTTGTTCACCAGCTATTTTTCTAATTTACCTATCTCTGCAGGTCCCTATGCAAGCATAACAGTCTTCTCTTTTGACTTAATTCTCCATGTCAATACAATAGAGTACGCTGGAACCAGCAAAATACTGGTTCTTCAGGTTTTTCTCTCTTACATCCTATATTAAAATACATGGTGGCTGTGGCTTTAACTGAAGTTTTGGAAATTTCCAAGAGTGTCTGAGGCTACTGTATTTGTTGAGTAGCTATCTCTTCTGGGAAAAGCTTTGGCAAGGCTGTCCCTTTAATTCTGATGAAAGGGCAGGGGGTACCCACGTGAAGATAAAAAACAGCAGTTAAATGAGAAGAGATCACCAAACTAAATTTTGAATTCTTGAGTCGGTATCTCTCACATCCTACTTTATTTAGTAGAATTAGGTGAAAGGAGAATAATCTTAATCAAAATAGATTGTAAATAAGTATTAGCTGAGGGAGTACAAAAAGAAAAGCCAAGCTGCGTGCTTGAACATTTCCTTTTGTCACCGGATAATGTATTGTATTTCAATTAAAAAAAATAATTCATGTGGCTATGTTTCATATTTAAAATAGTTTCCTTCAATACATTTATTCTTACTCACTCTCGTATTTTTCCTCAAATTTCACCCTAGCTTCACCCTCATTTGCATTTCAGTCCTAGGCTTCTGAACACATGTTCATTGACCGTGGTGCTGTCCAGAGTCACATCAGCAGAATTAAAACTAGGTAACAGGTGACTACAGCTATAAACCTTAATAAAAAATCTTGGACTTTTCCACTTCTTTCTTGCCCTTTGCAGAACTTACTTAGCATGGATAACAGCACTAACCAAGGCACGACTGTATGGTCATTGTGATGTGCTACCATCAGTGCCCTCTACAGTGACGGCTTTTCATCTGGAGAAGCAGACAGACAAAACTAACAAAACCTTCCCAAGTTTTATAAATTTCTCCATCTCAGGGATCCCACAGTTCAGTCTGATGTTGTCCAGACTGAAAAAAATAGTAAGGAACCCTTGTGTTTCCAAGTAAGCAAGAGGGACAGTTAACTGTTCTTGTATAGTATTCCCTCCTCAAAACCACGTTAAGACATGCATGAGACCAAGAGGTGATCCGAGATAGCCAACATAGCTTCATCAAAGGCAGATGTTGCCTGACCAATCTGGTAGCCTTCTATGATGGAGTGATGGCATCTGTGGACAAAGGAAGGGTGACAGATGTAATTTACCTGGACTTATGCAAAGCCTTTGACATGGTTCCTCACCACATCCTTCTTTCTAAATCAGAGAGGTATGGACTTGAACGATGGACTGTTCAATGGATAAAGAATTGGTTGGCTGGTCGCAGCCAAAGGGTTGTGATCAACAGCTCTATGTCTGGGTGGAGGTTGGTCACAAGTGGTGTCCCTCAAGGGTCTGTCTTGCGACCGGTGCTCTTCAACATCTTTTTCAACAACATATATGAGGGAGTCAAGTGCACCCTCAGCAAATTTGCGGATGACACCAAGCTGAGTGGTGCAGTTGATATAACAGAGGGAAGGGATGCCATCCAGAGGGACCTGGACAGGCTGGAGAAGTGGGCCCATGAGAACCTAATGAGGTTTAAAAGGGCCAAGTGCAAGGTGTTGCACTTGGGCAGGGGCAATCCCAGGTACTTGTATAGACTGGGAGAAGAACTCCTTGAGAGCAGCCCTGTGGAGAAGGACTTGAGGGTCCTGGTGGACAAGAAGCTGGACATGAGCCAGCAGTGTGTGCTTGCAGCCCAGAAGGCCGACTATGTCCTGGGCTGCATTAAAAAAAGGGTGGTCAGCATGGAGAGAGATGATTGTCCCCCTCTACTATGGTCTTGTGAGACCCCATCTGGAGTACTCTGTTCAGGCCTGGGGTCCCCAGCAGAAGAAAGATGTGGAGCTCTTGGAACGAGTCCAAAGGAGGGCCACAAAGATGATCAGAGGGCTGGGGCACCTCTCCTATGAAGAAAGGTTGAGGGAACTGGGCTTGTTTAGCTTGGAGAAGAGAAGGCTCCAGGGAGACCTCATTGCGGCCTTCCAGTACTTGAAGGAAAAAAAAAGGGGGGGCGACTATTTACAGGGGTTGATAGTGACAGGACGAGGGCGAATGGTTTTAAACTAAGAGAGGGGAGATTTAGTTTGGATATTAGGCAGAAATTTTTCACTCAGAGGGTGGTGAGGCACTGGAACAGGTTGCCCAGAGAAGCTGTGGATGCCCCATCCCTGGAGGCATTCAAAGCCAGGCTGGATGGGGCCCTGGGCAGCCTGCTCTAGTGGCTGGTAACCCAGCCCACAGTAGGGGGGTTGAAACTAGATGATCTTTAATGTCCTTTACTTGCAATTTATGAAAATTCATGTAGTCATTAGTAAACTAATTTTGAACCTTAACTAGTTACGAAATCCAAACTTTCTTTGTTGAATGAGAAAAATCTCCAGAAAACACCTTCCCAGTCCATTTCCTTCTTATCTGTCATTGCAGAAAGTTTGATCAGGTAATTCAAAGCAGTTTACATTTGACAAAGTTTGTATGTTGACCAATATACCAGTAACAATCCAAATTATCATTGTTTCTGTATTTATAACACATAACATGTTTCTTAATAAATTAATTGTATTTATTTGTCTATCTACTTATTTATTCAATTAGTTATGGTAGTGTGCGGACTTCATGTGTGTTTTATAGATGGGAGCCAATCCCTTCAAATTTTCTCTTCTTTCTTGTCTGTCATTTAAACTCTGATACAGTCAAATACATAGCCAGGCATCTTTTACATTACTGTTTCTAAAGGTATGAAACATAACAAAGGTATGAAAATAACAAAGAGAGCTAAATACAACCCAAGAAAGACAAGTGATGCAAATCAAAACAGTTGCTCACCACCAACTGACCAATGTCCAACCAGTCCCTGAGCAACAGCCCTCCGGCCAACTTTCCCCCCAGCTTTGTTACTGAGCATGACTTCATATGGTATGGAATATCCTTCTGGTCAGCTGGAGTCAGCTGTCCCAGCTGTGTCTCCTCCCAACTCCTTGTGCACCCCCAGCCTTGTGCACCCCCAGCGGGATGGTGTGGGGAGCAGAAAAGGACTAGACTCTGTGTAAACTCTGCTCGGCAATAACAAAAATGTTCCTGTTTTTCAACACTGTTTCCAGCTCAAATCCAAAACATAGCTTCATACTAGCTACTGTGAAGAAAATTAACTCAATCCCAGCCAAAATCACCATACTTATTTTGTCTTTGACATTTGCCTGATATTTCAGAAGTATGAAAAGAAAAGAAAAAAGCATCTTAAGCACGTGCCATAAGAGTATCCTCAGCTTGGGTATGTGATGAGATTAGACAGTCAATTGATATAAAATTTTACAACTCGATTTACTTACTGAATCTTTGCTGATTTATGCAGCTGAAGACAAGGCGTAATATTGTTGACAGGTGTGTATTATCTTGCAACTTTTATAGAAATGCCTTTGTGCAGTCAAGGCTGTCAATGAATACTTAACTGTCTGGATTGTGTAAATAAGGGTACAAGCAACCATATAGTAATATGTAACAATAAGGTATTTATTTTAAAGAAAAGACCTCCATATTACACTACTTACACTTGTACAATTGATATAATCAGTGTGTATTATATATCTTATTTCTGTAGTGGTATTCATGAGATAGCTAAGATCCACCAGTATACAATAATAGTGTGTAAAGACATTTTCTTTTTCTACTCACTTTCTTGCCCTTTTTTAAAAACTCAGGCCTCTTTTATATTCAGCTTGAATATCTGCTTCTAATACTGTTCTAGAGCACAACAATTTACAAAGAATTGAAAAAGCAATTTTCTTTGGACAGCTAGCTATTCTCCCTAATTTTCACCTGCCAAACTCTTTTCTATGAATGTTGACTCAGTCAGATAAAATGCAGGCTTTAAAGATGTTTGATTAGCTGCCTGGCTTACCTTTAGCTACTCACTCTGCATGTAAACTGTCTGCATACCCACCACTGCTCACTTTCCACAGACACAGCTTTCCCCAGAGCTGCACTGAGCAATGTAGGCATGATCTAAGACAACAGGGACTTTTCATTTATGGGTTACTGATAACTTACTTCTGTTTTATTAATGGAAGAAAAAAGAATGCACCAATAGTAAAAACAAAACATACATGACTTACAAAGAACAACTTTTTTTTTTTTTATTTTAGTTCAATTCTGTACAGCAATTCATTTGAAATCACCACAATGACTGAAAAAAAGGACTTTACATATTTCTCCTGCTGCATCCCAAAATGCTTTCCAGCAAATGAAAACTCAATGATATGTCACTTACTTTACACAATTCAGTTTCTATAAGCTTCAGGATTTTGCCACCATTAGGTACACTGAATAGTCTTTTGTTTTGCAGTCAGTTCTTATGATCTCAGTGCAATGATTCTAAATAGTCAAGTATTCTGTCTAAAATATTAGAATCAGAGACTCATAAATTTTTACACTGAGTATAAAGAGAAATTGAGGAACTTAATACCTCCAGCATGATGCCTAATTTTTACGGCACTAAGTGGAAAAAATGTTACCTTCTTACACTCTTAGCAGGAAGCTACAAGAAAATTCAGAAAAATCTTTTAGGTTTATAGAATGTGAGTGAGCTCCTAATGTGATAATGATGAATGTGAACTTGTGTATACATGAGTGTCATTGGACAAGTTTTAGACTTTGAAGTTAAGTTGTTACCAGACGAAAGCAGACTCAAAATGAACTAGATCATTGAAGGACTTGAGAACCCAATAAACCAAATTTGAAATACATAAAGTTGGTGGGGCCCATACTAAGCTTTAAGGTAACTGTGCTCTCTCAGGCTAAGACCTGCTTTGAGCTTGAGGAATACTAGATAAGTATACATTTTCAAATTAGGCTTGCAAAACTATTATCCATCATTTTAAAGCATTGCCTTACTGCTCCCCCATGTTTTATGACCAAGTCGGTATATATGTGGTCACATCCTCTGGTGCCTCAACAAGTAACCACAATTTTTATCCTTAGAGCTAATTGAAAGAAAAGTATGGTGTGCCTGCCAGTGCAAGCCAACAGAAAAAAAAAAAATAAAAAAAAAAAAAAGAGTTTTATTAAGGGAATCTAGAGTCATTATGGAGCTTTCATTTTTTACCTAATCAATAAATCATTCTGAGTCTCTGTACAGTATTTCTAACTCGGAAAAATGTTAACCAAAAATGTTGTCATAAAAACACCTTATCAGGCTAACTATAACTAGAAATGGTAAGGAACAATGCCTTTTGCTAAGGGAAAAGTAAATCTTACAAATTAATCAAAATGTCAAATCAGACTGATGCAATTTTGATTTTTATGGATGATTTTTAAGTTATATGCAATTATTTTGTCAAATATATTTGTCTTTAAATGCTTGATGTTTCTATTTATATTATGTTTTCCAGAAGCTTTTGTCTTCCTTGGTTTGTGTACAGTATCCTTCTAGGTTTTCAAAAGGAGTTAAAAGAGACGTCTACAAAGAAGTTTTTATTTCTGATTGCTCTCTGAATAGGTAACTAAGAAACTCGGGAAGGACAGTAACTCACGACACTGATACAAGTTTACAATACATATTTTTGATTCATCACTGGCCTACATTGAAAAGAAAATGTAAAGATCCCTAAATAAAACCAAAAAAACCCACACAGAGGCAAAATTATTTCAACGGAACTTGAAGCATGGGATTGGAGAAGACCCATTAAATCATCAGATCTTATTGCAGGGAACTTGTTTGATGAAGTTACTGCCATAAACTTATTTTACACTCTAGCTTTCTGGCTTTACTTTGTTTCTACTGAGCATTGATAAGGAAACTCAACGATCTAAAGATCAGAATTCTAATTTCAAACTTAAACTTCATCTGTTAAATCTTTTTCCATTCATTCCTGATCCTGAATGAGTCTTCCTTATGC